GGTGTGATAATGCTTAGAATTTAGCACAGAGTATGGAAGTGTCCATACCTAAACTTGAACCCTTTGGTACATATGTGAGTAACTCCCCAAAACAGAGAAGCCAACGACATGGACCTGGCAGGGCTATTGTGAGGAGTAGGTTTCAAAGTCCAAGTAAGCTTCCCCATAGGACCTTGGGTACCAGTGACAGTAGCTACTGCTGCCCAGCAGGGAGGGCTGTGGAGGTCATGCTATCCTTGGTGCAAGAGTGTGTCATGCTGTTGCCGTAGCAGCTGCTGGTCCAGGCATGTGGGGGCGGGGCAGGCATGGGTAGTCTCTGGTGCAGCCCACAGCAGAGCTTCATCTTGCAGATTGATGACTTCGAGGCCTCCCTCCTTGAGACACTGGACCAGATCAGCCCACAGCATATCTGGGCTAAGAAGCTGCTGCAGGACATCAGCGAGCCCTGCTGCCAGTGTCTGGAGGAACTGGCCCTGCAGAAGGCCCTGGGAGGTATGGGGGGGACTTGACTTCAGTTGTTTGCCAAGCGGGGTTTCTGAGCTTGAGGTTACTGTGACTCATTCCTGTGTGTGCTTTAAGTGGGGAACAGTGTCTGCTTCCAGGCCCACAGTGCAGTCTGCATCAGGACAGCTTTTCAGGGTTCTGGTTAAAACTGTTTGCTTTGCTGCTCTCTCCATCTGTGTTCGTAAGCATCTGGATTTCCTTTGCTCCTTCTAACTCATTCTGCCAGAGGCCTAGGTAAGCTCTTGCAGGCAGAAAGGCATTGCTGCTCTAAGCTTGTAGAAAATGGGCATTTCTCTTCCAGCCTAGCGCTAGGCAGCCTGCATGGTTGTGTGGACTAGATAGAGGCAGGGGAGGAGAGGTAAGAAAGAAAGTTCAAAGAGGTGGAGCAGGGGCAGAGCCTAGAAGACCACCTCCTGCTGCCACTAAGGCTGTGCTGGCTCCAACTCTCATACAGAGCTGTGCTGCTTCCACCTTGTATTCCTGAGTCTGCTTTGATGTACATCCTTTGATTAGTAATTAACCCTGGGGGAATTATCTCAGTTTTTTTAAATAAGTAATTGTCCACATATTATTAACCAACTGACTCTGAATTGTTTAAGTGATGATGTTTTTGGATTAAAGGAAATAAGTTACACACAAGCCAAGAACAGTGCCTGAGACATTGTTTGGTAAAGATTAGATGTTGGTCAGTGGTGTCATCATATGCTACTAAAGAAAAGGTGCCCTGGTGTCCTAACTGAAGGCAGGAAGTATCACACATCCTAGGTGTTTACTTAGTGTCTATTGATGGCCTCACGAAGGATCGTGCTCCAGGTGAGAGTTGTGCAGAATCTTGGAGTGGTCCTGTGCTGACCTGTTCTCTGCCCCACGCATCACCGAGCTCCAGGTGTTTGTGGACCTGGCCTCCATCTCAACTGGAGACAGTGACATTGACGTGGACCTGGTGGCCTGCTTCCATGATGCTGTGCAGGGCTATGCATCCCTGCTGTATAAGCTGGACAAGAAGGCAGGCTTCAGCGAGTTCATG